GCATTCTTTAAAAGAAATAGTAAATGATTGGAAATAATTACCATAATTACTTAGATTTGTGTGATGACTTTTAATAAAATTTCTTTTATTTCCTCTTATGATATAATAGAAAGAACACTGCTTCAGAATTCAGATGCAGATTTTAGTTTTACTCTTGACAAGAGTGGAATGATGTATAAATCATTAAACTCTGAACATTTATTCAAAAAATGTTTAAAATTTAGATATTAAAATCCTATAACTTTAGATCAAACATTTGCATTATTTACACTAACATAATAAACCTCAAGCAAGGGATGCCTGAGAAGCCTAATTTTAGGCCCTCCTTCTACTTTTCTATTTGTTTGGCCACATGAGCATTCTACAAATTTATCTTTCTTGTCAATGAACTTTTTCGATGAACATGCAGATAATTTTCATCTCACATATTGCCTTTGGTGGGTTAGGATCAAGACAGAGATTCTGTGGTGACTCTGGTAAAGGATAAAAATCCTCCTGTAACACTTAGGACAGTGATTGGATGTCCTACAAACTGGCCGCTGGCTATAAAGTATGAAATGATATGATGTCATTCTTACCTTTGTACCCTTTCACAGAAGAAAGGATTCTTTGACTTAACCATAATATTATATGATTTGATTTTGCTTTAGTAGTTGCTGCTAATGAAGTACAGAAGATTAAAGTTTGTATTAATTACTGGCACATTAATATAATATTAAATATAGTTTAATATACATGCATAAACACCCACACACAAATTGCCATCAAGTCAATTCTGACTCATAGTGACCATCATTGGGTTTAAAAAGTTATAAATCTTTACAGAAGTAGATTGCCTTATCTTCCTTCCACAAAGCAGCTGATGGGTTTGAACTGCCAACCTTCTGGTTGGAAGCCAAATACCTTATCCATGATGCCATCCAAGCTTCATAAAATGTAAAGTTCAAACTAAATCAGTAACAAATATCTGATTACTGAAAGGACTTTACTTTTATTCCTCTTGATCTGATGTTACAGTTAATTTTTGGCTAACTTATTAAATGACGTAGAAAAAAAGATGTTTCCAACAGAATTTTAATTAGAGTGCTACATTATTGTTATGATCACCTATAGGGAAATAAACAATAATAATGTAAGGAACAACAGGAAATGAATATTGCAAAACATATTTCTACTAAATTCAGGAAATAATTAAACATAAAAAGTTAGGAAAATTCCATGTATTTTAGAATAAATTTAAAATGGAAATGTTCATAGCTAGCAAAATTATTGTAAATGTCAAAGTAGCAAAAGTGTATAAAGTGGGGGTTTTAGATTGTATTTCTATAATTTATAAGAATTATTGTGCCTTATGAACAGGCAACTTGTACTTGGTGTCAAAATATCTTTATAAATATCTTTATACAATGATATGTATGTTTATAAAAGGTGTATATATATATATGTGTGTGTGTGTGTGTGTGTGTGTGTATTGTAAAGACCAAAAAGTTTGAGTAAAAGTTCAGAAATCCATGATATGTAAAGAAAAAATAAAATAATTCTATGTGAGCAAGAATGAAAGACCCAATTATAACTAATAATAGTTTCCCAATATCCCGTTTGATTACAGCAGTTTTTACAAACAACTTTGCTTGCTCTCAAAAGATTGAGTATGATTTACAAGGAATATAAATTATAGGAATAAACAGTATATTACATATGGTTTGTAAAAGGATCTAATATTAAATGAAACTATTATCAGAACTGTCTAAAAAAGAAATCAAACTACAAAAGTCTATAGACTTTCTACCAGATGGATTTCAATTTCACTGTAAGTTTTCTAGTGTCCAAATAAAAAGAGAAATCGTATCAATTTCATAATTTAAAACATCCATGATAAAAGCAAACCAATTTACTCAGGAGAAGTACAATTATTGCTACTACTAAAACTTGAAAGAAATTTCTCCCTGGGGTCAACCTAAATAGGACATTGTAAAATATAATGAAATAATGCCTTGAACAATATCTTTATGATAGACACCACTAAGAGTTTCATAAAGTTTTTTTTTATGATATCATTCAATATACACTGACTGTCCAACTACACAATTCCATGTGTAGTTTAATAGAGGCATAGATTTTAGTAGTTGGAAAAATAGACAAAAAAACTTTCAAAGATTCATCAGAAATATCTTTATCTTAGTGTAGCTGTTTAGATAAATTTGGTGGCACTAGCTTTCTCTGAACACTCAGTTTGCACATTCAATAAACAGATATTGGCTAACTAATTTATGTGGAGTCTACGTGGTACAAATCGTTAAGAGCTCATCTACTTACCAAAAGGTTGCTGGTTCAAACACAACCAGAGGTACTTCAATACCTACTTCCAGAAAGTCATAATAACTAAAAAGCCTATGGCCCAGAAGTTCCCTGAAATACAGGGAATTGTGTTGAGTCTTTATCTGCTTGATGGCAACTGGTATAATTTATATAGCAATGTATTAGACACAGAGAATAAAAATAATAATAAAAATAATTTCCTGGTAATCAAGTATTCTGTGTTGGCAGTTAAGTGTAAATAAATATATAAATGACTTGAAACTAAGTTAAAGTTAATGTCCTTTTGTGAAAGATGAGGACATTTCAGCTCCAAGGAGACAATCATAAAGTGAATCAGATTTCTCTTCAGAATATAGGTTTCAATCTGTTCTAACATACAGATTAATAGGCACTTTCTGAATGTTCCACTCTGGTTTAGTGTAGTCACTGTGCCTTTATACTGGAGGAGTACTATTCTCAACACACATTTTATCCTAGAAACAACAACAACAACAGCAGCAACAACAAGAACAACAACAACAACAACAACAAAACAGACAGCCAAAAGTCATCCCATTAGGAATTTTACCACATCTATGGCTTTAGAATTATAGTCTGAGAAGCCTTAGGTATATCTTCCTTGAAGCTGTCTCAAGAGTTAAGAGTAGTGGAGCAGACTCCATAGCTGTCTTTCTGCCTTTTCTAACCACGCTTTAGCCACAGAAGATTCTGTTTAAAATGTAAGAATTATTTTCAAGTGGGCTTGGTCCAAGTCATGGTCTTCTCAATCTCTTCTGATGCTTATGAAAGATACAATTGAATAAAAAGTCAGAAGAAGAATGGATACATTCAGCTTGAGTGGCATTGAAGAGTAATGAATATACCGTGGACTGCCAAAAAAAACAAACAAAACAGTTCTTGCATAACCACAACCAGAATGTTCCTTGGAAGCTTTGACTTGCTTAATTGGGACTCGTCATCAGGAAAAGGACATCATATTTGGCAAAGTAGAGTGTTAGCAAAAATGGGGGAAATCCTCAATTTCATGGATTCACCATCAACAATGTATTCAAACATCCCTCTGAGCATAAAGTTGATACAGAAATCGGCACTTTTTTTTTTTTTTCTGTTATACACAAGGTATTCATAAGTTGGAGCTGATTTAATGGTAACTAGCAATAAAAACTTTAAAAAAATATTTGAAAAATAATAGAATACTATAACATCTTTCACACTTTATTTTTTTCTCTACAAAAGATCATCAATGTAGCTATTCAATAAACACATACTCTGTGCCTGCTATATTCCAGAATTTATGCCAGGAGCTAAATATACAAAGTTAAATATGTTAAGGGTTTGTCTCAAGTACCTTACAGTTTGTGATAAAATATTCTTGGTAATCAAAATTTAAGCTCAGTTTGGTAGCTACTTAGCAGAAGTATTCACACCACACATGGAGAGTCGACAGAGGAGATGTAGCTAGAGCAGCTGGGAATGAAGAGAGGGCTCAGTATGTAAGAGGTGGTCCTTGAATTGAGTCTGGACAAGTAACAAGAAATAGGAAAAGAAGATGGATAAAGGCCATTTAAAATAATGGAATGAATGAAGGAGGACATGCCAAACAGCATGATAAAGTGAAAGAAATTTTTGTGACTGAAATTCAACTAAGAGAAAAAATGAAGTATTAGAAGAAAGAAGAGAGCAGATTCTGAGGAGCTAGAGAACTTAAACAAGAAGTTTGAACCAAAAGACAACGGGACATAAAAACAAAACAGAACAAAGGAAACAAAACTTCAAAGTAAGGCCATGATCACATTTCGGTGTGAAAAATATCATTCTGACATCATCATAGAAGATACAATCAAGAAGCTAAAGACAGAGACAGGTAGAGTAATTTGGAGGGTATGGCAGTAATGTGGAAAAGAAGAAATAGGAATCCGAATTAATCCAGAGAAATGATGAGACGACAGGAGATAAAAAAGATAAGAGAGTGCAACATGTGGGATTTTGTGACCTCTGTGGCCTAATTTGAGCAGCTCTGCTGGAATTGTGGTTAAGACATTGGGCTGCTAACCAGAAGGTTGGCAGTGTGAACCCACCAGCAACTCTGTGGAAGAAAGATGAGGCAGTCAGTTTATATAATGATTTGTAGCCTTGGAAACCATCTGAGAAAGTTCTACTCTGACCTATAGGGGTGCTATGAGTCAGAATCAAATGGCAGTGGGTTTTGGTTTTAGTTATAGCCTAACTTTCGTGTTTTTCCATTTTGAATCAACGGTGATGTGTCATATCATGTGACTTTTCTCTATATAATTTTACTCCCACTTTCTTGTGCATATATATGTAGTCAATCTTTTAATAATTTGAAATGTGATTCCTTTCATAGTCACCAAATCTTACATACCAGGCCACTTGAAACTTGAACATTTAATCACTTAGTACATTCTGCCTGCATAACAAGGCTCAGCATTATAATCCTGAAGTTGTTACAAGATCTGTGCTGTCTCAGATACATTTACACTTCAATTACAATTACAATGCTTTCATCTTAACAGCTTCCAGTTTCTAGAGGATTAAATCTCAAGGATTATGTTACAATGAGAACAAAGGTTACTGACTACATTTCTCATTTCTTTCTGAGATACTTTACCAGCTAAATAAAAGTGAAACAGAATTTATGCCAAGATGTTTTCTCCCTGCAGGAAAACATAATGGAAGTTATCAGAAATCAAGAGTTTTTACTCCTTCCAGCTGAGGAACTTCATAAACTCCTAGCCAGTGATGATGTTAATGTTCCTGATGAAGAAACCATCTTTCATGCATTAATGATGTGGGTCAAGTACGACACACAGAGGAGATGCAATGACCTAAGTATGCTTCTTGCCTTTATAAGACTACCACTGCTTCCACCACAGGTAATTACATGTAACTCTCTTTTAACAGCTATGATCTACAGAAAAATATGAAAAGTAGGCATCACAATCCACTTTTGATTTTTATTCATATATGGTTTCTGTTTTAATCCATTAATATTTTTAAGGTAAATCTGATGGTGGAAATGATCAATCATGGCTCTGAATCCTATCTCTGCCACTTATTGAATCCTAGTCACTTACATGACAATGAGAATATCATTTTCTCTGATGTTCAATTTCTTCATCTATGCACTGAAGTATACTGACACACAAAAGTATTATGAGGATAAAAATAGATAATATACCTAAAGCACTTTATCCCAACAAGTATGCAGAAGATTAATAAAATAGATACACATACATATATATGTATATGTATATATGTGTGTGTATACATATATAATAGGAGTCAAATTGACTCTAGGGCAGTGATGTATATATAATTTCAGTTATTAATTCCTTGTTTCTTTTTATTTGAAAATACTTAATTTGACCTAAAATGAAATAATGATTGTTCTTTGATCAAAAGGCATATTATGTGGTCATCTGGGAATACTTCTTAAAGCTCAATGCATGATGTTTCAAACAGTTATAGAGAGAGTATCTTATTCAATGATTATGAGTTATGAGATGATATCAGCTACCAGTTGGAAATGTGCTATCTTTTATAATTGGAGCAAAGAAGATCCCAGATACTACATAATCTAGTCACCTCATTTTACGGGTATAAGTTGGCACAGGGAAATTGAATAAGAGCGCCAAGTTCTCTCAGCTAATGAGAGGAAGAGTTCCTAGTTCCCCATGATTCCAATAGTTGTGTCTTTAAACTAACTTGTATTGCAAATTATCTATGTGCTTGTCAAACTCTCCAAAAATAAACTTTAAGGAAATTTTAATCCCTGAAATGATAAGTAAACTTGTATTTGTACTTATTTTATGGTGTGTGGAGAGCCTAGGCATGGGGAAAGAGGGACTATAACACTAATCAGATTCTTCATTTGGATGCAAACCATTGCCAAAAGGTTAATTAATCCTTATATTACTAATATTGTAAAAATAGGGAATTAGAAAATTGGGTAAGAGCAGTATCAAGTGTGAAGTGGTAATAACATGTGAAAATACTATATTTATGTTGTATATTATAATTTGAAAATTAAAATCTTCTATGTTATGGAAGAGGGGGTGTAGATATTAGCATGATTTCTATATGTACCCAGATGGAGAATCTCTGGAATGGATGGATGAATTTGTCTTTCACTGTGTCAGGATAGGAAACCATTGAAGATCATGAGGCTGGCAAAAACAAAATAAAACAAACACTCATTAGTGAAGCAGAGTGGGAAAAAAATGAAGCTTTATAAATAAATAATACTATAATTGTACTTGGCTCCTTAGCTTATAAGGCAGAAGGTAAAAGTTATGAAGATCTGCCTATAAAAGTTATATGGGCTTATCCTAAAACCAGGATCTGAAAATAAGGAAGACAAACATGCATTTAGGTGACTGAACAAATAATAAAGTGTGCTGTCAAGCACTGGATTTTTCTGAATCTTCCATCTTGAATTTTTAAGACAGATATTCCAGAACCTGAAAATCTTCCCTCAGTGTCTTTATTTGATCATGACATATCTCTTACTGTCCATCCATTTTAGCTGTTTGTTGAAATGTGTGAAGTCATGGAGTTGAATTGGTGCTCAAAAATCATTACAAATAGAAGTACACATTCCACAGCAGGGCAAGAATGTGACTGTTGTGCAATTGCAGTGTGTGATGGATTGTCTCTGTGCTTACTTCTATTGCTCAATGTACTTAGTAACACCAACACGATTTATACTTGTTCATGGTTAATCTTTTCCTCATACCTTCTTCCTCTACTTAACTGTCATCCCAAATGGGGAGATGCTTCTAACTATACATCTTATAATAAATTGTTTCATAAGAAATCAGATGTATGTCCAAACACTTATTTGCTCTTAAGGCTACTTATTACACATGAGGTTTTCATTATTATTAATTCAGCTGGTTTACCTTGCTTGTTAGGATGTTAGGTGCCATCCACTTGGTTCCACCTGATCATGAACCTGTGCACAACAGAACAGAGCACTGCCTGGCCCTGCACGATCCACACAAGGTTTGCTGTGCTTGAGCCATTGCTGCAGCCACTGTGCCTATCCATTTCATTGAGAATCTTCCTCTTTCTCTCTGACCCTCTCCTTATCAACAAAGATATGCTTCTCCAGAGAAAGGTCCTTCATGATAACATGACCAAAGTACAAAAGTGGAAGTCTCACCATGCTGGTTTCAAAGGAGCACTCTGGCTGTACTTATTCCAAGAAGCTCTTCTGGCAGTCTGTGGTATATTCAACATTCTTTGTCAGGGCAAAGAATGTTAAGAAAAAAAAAAA